ATTTCCTTCATTCTCCGTATCACGTAGCACAGTAACCTCAGTCCGTTCGACATATTCGAGACTCACCATAGTTCGTTCTACGCATGAGAAAGGAAAAGCATTGAGCTTTTGAGAAGGCACTGAAAGGTCGATACGGAATTATTCGAAGGTATTCGTCTCGCTGAATGCGAACACGGTAGGAGAAACAAACCCGTCTATCGTGAAAGCCTTTGTTTTTGTGAATTCAACCGAAGATCGGATTTTCAGCACTCTATTTCGAAATCATCTGGCATTCGTTCTGCCTGGCTAATATTTCGTGGTTAAGAACGATATCATGGGGAAGATGAAACGAAGTATTTTAGTGTCGTAATATCACTTTTTCGAAGCTCTCTCCTTACGCCGATGATAATATCGTTGTAGAATAGCAACTTGCGCTTATAAAATGATGCGTAACTCACGAAAGACCGTTGAGGACTGAGTAAGGACGCCGACCATGCAGTCCTGTTTAACTTATCAAGTCTTACTTACTTTTTAAAACCTGTAACTTAGCATTAGAGTTTCAGATCATAAACATGAGAAGAATGATTATCGACGAATGATAGAATGGTGGAGTTTAAACTGGTATTATAGAAATGAAACACGACTGCAGCTAACACAAGCATGCACCTCTTGGTATTTATTCGGAACGGACACAAGTGAAAAATAGCTTATGTGAGGAATACTGATCGTCACTTGCAACAGAAACCGTGCTTTTCGTGCTCGAAAATATTTTCAAGCGAACTCGTAATACCATCCCATGCTGAACATCCCATGCTAGTCGTATAGGAGTCTTACCATTGGAAACATCCAGTCCGCACATATACATATCTCACCATCGGTTCGCCACTTTTCTTTCCCAAGCATCATTTTTTTTCTACAAATGCAGGCAAGACATCTTAGAACACTCCTCTAACAATATCTTCTGTTTTCCCATGCGTTGTAAAAATTTCCATTCCACGCATGAGAATCGCTGAGGGATTGAAGGGACGAGCAAGCTCGTCCCCAATATTGTCGTTCATAAATTATGGTTGACACAAAATTGCTTTTTTCGACTCTGGCCAGGAACAATATTAATATTAATATTTTCTTATAAAATTTATGAAATTCATTTGAAACGGTTTTGAAAAGTTTTTACACAGAAAAACGAAAAGTTGTTTTTTACGACTCGAACTCGCAAGGTGCTTCCTACGTCCGTGTCGCAGGTGACTCACGTCATCCATATTGTGCTCGAGAAATTTTTTAAAACAAGGAGCCTAAATTTTCTGGAATTAAATTTGGCTACTGATTTTGTCATCTGTGGAAATTCTCCTCACATTCGATATTTAATCTCGCCTTTTCAGTTAAATACTAACTTCTCTCATGTTAAACGTTTATAACCCTAGATAAACATTAGGCGATCGAGAAAACTGCAATAAAGTAGGAGAATAGGTTAGGCAATTAATCTGGGCCTTTTGGTGATGTAGATGAAACGTCTCCTGGTCGTTGTCCGAAAGGTTGTAGTGTCTTCATAGTCGTCGATGTCGTCTTCAAATTCGCTCATAAGCGCTTGATCAGTCCTAGAAACCGAGCCGAACCCCTTTGGTATATCGACCTAGAAACTTTTTAATTCACTTCATTCTTCCACGTTTGTCGTAATTCCTCATCAGTTAGATGTGGAGATAACGAAAAAGCATCTTGAGGATGCTTCGCTTTATCGCCCATCATCTGAGGAGGAATTCAAAAGTAAATACCGAAAACTAAACCACGAATTGGCCAAAATGGCAAGGGCTGCTGGTTTAAAACCATCAGTTATCTCTCAACTTAAAGTTGACTTACCAACATGCCCCGTCTTGTACTTACTTATAAAAACTCATAAGTTAACTCTTTTATTTACTGCCTTTTTCTTCTTAATGGCAGGGTATGTTGTGAAATATAACTCGTATGAGATGCTGAGATATTTGCAAAACTCCGGACCACAGGTGTATGCAGTGGGGAACGAACACGCGCTGTTGTCCTTATCGGGGAGCAGCGCACTTCACCACTACACCACCCGGGTCACTCATACACTAATAAGTTAGTATCCAGCGATGATCTTGCGCCTAACGATCCATCACTATTTAAGGTTAGACCTATCATTAGCTGTGTAGACGGGCCAACGGACAGGATAACATGGTTTTTAACCCTAATATTTAACCAGTTGTTGAAACACATTCCAGCCCATCTTACGAATACCCAGATGCTTCTGGATCGTCTCCGTACTGCGCAGCCCAACAGCGCGTGCGTGATGGAGTCCTTCGACGTTACCGCCCTTTATACAAACGTGTCGAATGACTACGCAGTGCAAGCCATACTCGCACTCCTTATGCAACACGAAGGAGGAATAAATATGTATGGCTTCAAGACAGAGCAGTTGATGGCACTCTTAAAAGATTGCTTGAGTTGCTCAATTTTCAGATGGTCTGGAAAGTACTACGCTCAAATAAGAGGGTTGGCAATGGGACAACGACTGGCTCCAAGCCTTGCCATTGCATTTATGTCTAAGGTGGAAGCACCGGTGACTGATCTCGGGCCGCTACTCTACTGTAGGTATGTAGACGACTGATTTGTCCTTTGCTCAACACAAGAGAAAATGGATAAATGCTTCGAATTGTTAAACGCACAGTCAGAGTATATCAAGTTCACCCGAGAAAAGCCGAAAGAAAAATGGCTTCCATTTTTGAACGTACAAATTCACCTATCAGAAAATGGCTACATTACAAAGTGGTACCGAAAGCCAAGTAGTAAAAATATCTTGGTTCATTACCTCTCCTCTCACCCCTCTCACACGAAAAGGGCGCTTATAAGAAACATGTTTCGAATAGCAAACAACAAGTGCACGGGAAGAGAGCAGAGAGAGGAGTCCCGGAACTTGGCACGGCAAATAGCCATTTCTAATGGCTACGAAACTGTAGCTCAGGATAGGTGTAGAGGATNAAATGCTTCGAATTGTTAAACGCACAGTCAGAGTATATCAAGTTCACCCGAGAAAAGCCGAAAGAAAAATGGCTTCCATTTTTGAACGTACAAATTCACCTATCAGAAAATGGCTACACTACAAAGTGGTACCGAAAGCCAAGTAGTAAAAACATCTTGGTTCATTACCTCCCCTCTCACCCCTCTCACACGAAAAGGGCGCTTATAAGAAACATGTTTCGAATAGCAAACAACAATTGTACGGGTAGAGAGCAGAGAGAGGAGTCCCGGAACTTGGCACGGCAAATAGCCATTTCTAATGGCTACGAAACTGTAGCTCAGGATAGGTGTAGAGGATATCGTAGGCCTCCAAACGACAAATCTAGCGATAGAAGTGTCCCGTTTATCCTACCCTTCATCTCAAATGATATAAGTACAGCTATAAAACGCTGCTTAAGAAGGGCGGGCTTAGAGAATTCGGTGAGCGTAGTTGAAATACCACCGAGTAATCTTAAGCACCAGCTAGTTCGTTACCGCCTATATGACCGTCTATGTGCAACTCAAAATTGCATAATTTGCCCCAGTGGTAGAGACGGTGATTGCATGAGCTCGGGTATAGTTTATCTGATCTCCTGTAAGACGTGTGGTGACGAATACATGGCGAAACGGGTAGACCCCTCTGTGTCCGCATGAAAGAGCACCTAGCCGGCAAAAATAGACCAAATACCCCGCTAGGCACGCACAGGACCCAGAGACATAACGGGGACGACTTCGAAGTAAGTGTCACGATCCTCGCACGCGAATCGAGAACACAGGCGCGAAAAACCCTCGAGGCACTCTGGATTAATTCCAGAAATCCGAAAATGAACCGCAGGGAAGAATGCCTCATTATCACGCGTGATATAGGGCAGTATATAAAACTGCTTTTCTGATGTGAGGGGCACATTATACTTCCACGTGATTTCTGTGCGGTTGGTCTCTACGTGACATACTTAGTGGAAACCTCATAGGAAGCGGTGAGTGTGCAAAGCTGTGTTCAAAGTTATTGAAATCTTGGTTTGGAGTTTCTTTGTTTGGTTATGGAGGCGTCTGGCCGAGTAGATTGCTATCAACTTGACCTTTCCAGGCTCTGAGGAAGGCGAAATTCGCCGAAACGTCAGCTTAATCGTGAACAAAGAATAATAACACCTCGNCACCAGCTAGTTCGTTACCGCCTATATGACCGTCTATGTGCAACTCAAAATTGCATAATTTGCCCCAGTGGTAGAGACGGTGATTGCATGAGCTCGGGTATAGTTTATCTGATCTCCTGTAAGACGTGTGGTGACGAATACATTGGCGAAACGGGTAGACCCCTCTGTGTCCGCATGAAAGAGCACCTAGCCGGCAAAAATAGACCAAATACCCCGCTAGGCACGCACAGGACCCAGAGACATAACGGGGACGACTTCGAAGTATGTGTCACGATCCTCGCACGCGAAACAAGAAGACAGGCGCGAAAAACTCTCGAGGCACTCTGGATTAATTCCAGAAATCCGAAAATGAACTTCAGGGAAGAATGCCTCATTATCACGCGTGATATATGGCAGTATATAAAACTGCTTTTCTGATATGAGGGGCACATTATACTTTTACGATTTCTGTGCGGTTGGTCTCTACGTGACATACTTAGTGGAAACCTCATAGGAAGCGGTGAGTGTGCAAAGCTGTGTTCAAAGTTATTGAAATCTTGGTTTGGAGTTTCTTTGTTTGGTTATGGAGGCGTCTGGCCGAGTAGATTGCTATCAACTTGACCTTTCCAGGCTCTGAGGAAGGCGAAATTCGCCGAAACGTCAGCTTAATCGTGAACAAAGAATAATAACACCTCGAGTTTGCTCAACAAAAATACGAAGAAAATCACTTCATTCTTTCCCGCAGGCAAATTTCCACAACAAGTTTATCGACTTTGCCTTGTTAAGCTAGAACTCAAGTCTATTCGGCTATTTTAAGAAGCAATTCTAATTAATTCTAATCAACTTTGCTAAATCTACATTAACAAACGTTCGATACAATTAGTCAATAAGAAAACCTACCATTCCTTCAGGTATTTCAGAAGTTTCACGACTTTCTGTAGTGGATCGTGGTGCAGTTTTCACGATGTGAGGTGTTGCCCGTGCTTGTGCTGGAAAATACTTCCCTCAAGGAATAAATTTTTAGGCGAACTGTTCAGTTCCATTTCTAAAGCCAGCAGTTTTCCGACGTGCAAATATCGATTGCCGTATAATCGGGAAAAATTCTATGAATGGATCAGAAGAGTTCTTAAATATATTTGTGATGACATGAATCATAAGCGACTCATGCATGTCTGGGATTGATCGAATATTTGGACTTGGAATAATCACAAAGCTGATTTCCTTAGTTGAAGTAAAAACCACTAGGATCTGCACTGGCTACAGAGTTCACTTTTTATATTCGATTAGGACATGTCGAGAAGGACAAATAAATTGATTTTACACACTGGCAGGGAAAGGAAATTTGTTGTAAAGATCAAACATTTATTCACTCATCTCTACAAAAGGAGTCAAATGCGTGGCGTATCAGTCGTCAACGCCGAGCGATTCATCCTATTACAATTTACCAAAACATACACGCTACCCTACGATGATTAAGCCTTGTCGATGATGTTTTGGCGATTTTTTTCAGTTTTTCCTAGTGCTGCAGTGTGCTATCACAATTCGCAACATTCGCATCTACTACTTAGAGCTTCTCACACATGAATGTCACTTGTTATATTCAAAAATTCCTTAGAGCGGCTACTAATTCTGCAGAGAACTTTTCTATGGTACTGACGCTCTCTCTCAAGACTTTTGATTGGTCTTAATTTCTATTATTTCTGTCAATCACTGAATAACCCTGGCGGAACGGACACAAGTGAAGTATTCATTGGTTCCACTTGTGCGCAATTGGGTGCGCTTCATTCAACAAACATGAAAGGCACAGTATTCTCTGCATGACTCCTAACAGTGCGACATTTTTAGTGATTCCTTTGTTTTATTGACGACCACACACAAGATGGTTTTCAATAACAGCCTTATGTTTGCTCATCAAGAAAGCAATGAAATGTCGATCAGTGCCGAGATTAGAAGAAATTGGTCTTGTTATTTGCTTCATAATAAGATTTTTCTACTGAATCGTTTACGTAAGATCAACATTGTTATGCGAATTAAAAGTATTTCTGAAAAGGAGATGCCGATGTATATTTACACTAGCATTCTCATTGCACTCACGTGTCGAATACTTCTTCAGTGCTACTGTTGCATCATCTACCGCAGCTGGTTCATTGGCAGTTTGCTCTCTGAATCTATCAAAGTGCTCGTTAATTTCATTCACTAGGGATTTCTTCTTAAATCAATCCTTATTCCTACCACTGAAGCGATCGCACCTTTTCTGTCCTGGTGGTCCAATCTCGGACTGGGCGGGCGGTGACGATCTTAACAGTGTGTCGCCTCGACTATACTGTGGAAGTTGGAACGACGACGACGGTCGTTCAAATGTGTGCAGTGGAGAACTGAGAAAAGAATCTGCATATCGCTTTTAGATTTTTAAGAAATCATAGAATAAATATAGTTTTATAATAAACATAAAAATGCGATATTAGAAAGTGTGAAAAACTTCTACAGAAATTATTGTTCAAAATTTACTGAAGAGGTGAAGATTTTCTTTAGAGAATGCGCCTACGGTAGCTGCTCAAGCTAAAAACATTGCGAATTTACTTCCTCTCGTTGTGTGAGACTTCGAGCATGATGTTGCGTATTTGGTTCATTCTCAGCGATTCGGAATTCGTAGATGGTTTTTGGATTTGTCCGAGAGACTTTTTCTAAATTCAGAATATTGTTGTTAATGTGCCTTCGTTCATTCATAAACTAACAGAATGATATTAACCTCGTGTTAGCATATTAGTGAAAGAATACATATCGATTAGTCATGCTTAGGTTAAAGGAAAGCCGCTTTTGAAAAATTATCGTGGATGTTTGAAAAGTTTACGATCCTATGTTGATGAGGTCTTTTGTGGGTGCAATATTGGCACAATCCCAGTGCTACCTCGACCACTGGCTTTAACGCAAAACCTCATGCGTGCAAACTATTTTTAAGGAAAACTCATCATCTCTCACTCGGTGCTCAAACTAGATTCGATAGAACTTCCTTAACGTTAGAAAGCACGTGTAGCACAAAGAAAAATTTAAACAAGTTATCCAACCTGGAATACAAAGCTTAGACAAGTTCAACTGTGACATACATATGCTACTAGTCATTATCACTTTCTTGGGAGTGAAGAGGTTCAAAAAACAACCAGTAAAATTGACGCCATCTGGATTAAGTATATTAAACGATAAAACAAGAACCCCTTTTCGTAGGGTGGACTTCAAAGAATGGAGTTCGCTGCCCCATATCGTTACGAAATCATTTTGTCAGCCAAGTAGCAGCTTTCTCCTGAGAAACATCCTACCTTTTGCTCGCTGAGAATTTGTAGTTCTAGTGGACATGGGCAAAATTTCGCATCTGCTCCCTTTTCTCCAGGTGGTCCTAAAACGTGAAGGTAGGAAGGAAACTAGAATACACTTGACAATTCCAAACAAAAACAAAAGAAAATGGTGACGGGGTAAGGTGACGTGCATTATGAGAAGCCTGGGTGTGAGGTTAGGAAATGGTGAGCGGAGTAATGTTCTTCGAAGTGGGCCGGAGAACTCTGATATTACCAGTAATATTTAAATGGCTCCACCTTTCATTCCTCTTTCGCCTACGTTTCCGTTCATCCCGTCCAACCCGCTTGAACCCGGTTGCCCAACTGGTCCTGGAGGTCCATAGATATAATTTCGCTAAAACGTGTTCACAATCCTAATCGAATTAAATCTTAAGACATCGGGAAAGGTGAAATTTCTAGATTTGTACAGAACAGCAAATGAAGACTTAATATTTAACGTTAGAACCTTTCCGCGTGGTCCTTGTGCTCCAGCCCGTCCAACCGGACCATCTGCACCTTTTGGACCTGGCTGACCAACACCTCCTTCTGCTGACCGTCCACTTGGACCAGGTGCACCCGGTTTTCCAGGATAACCAGGTGGACCTACATCACCTTCCATACCAATTTGACCTTCAAGTAGATGATTACAGCAAGTTTTCGGAGTTCGCAAAAATTCCCAGCTTTCAGAAAATATTTTAGAAAATGAAATGGTCAATAGAAAATAAAAATAGGCCGCAGAATTGACTAATGTCTTAGCTGCGTTCAAATCAGCCGTTTCGTTTTTTTCAGTTCTAATTCATCTAAAGAAAGCAAAATTCGGATGCCTTTTCAACCTTTGAAATTTTAAATTTAGTGACATTCTAACATAAATAGGAAGGCGATGTTGCAAAACAGCTAAACTGAACAAGTGAGGAAGTCCTCCTACAGCAAAGTGCCATAGAATTTGTTTCCACTACAGATTAATCGCAAGGTTTTATATTTATCCAAAAGGCATAAAAACATTACATCAGACTAGTGGCAATTCATCGCTGTGTAATAAGTCGCCTGCATGATTAATTTCATGGAATTTCAAGCCGCAACTTACCGTCGATGCCGTCCGTAGATGGAATACCGGGTGGTCCCCTTTGTCCTTTCTCGCCTGGCTCTCCTCTGTCACCTGGTGGTCCCATCGGACCCATTTCCCCCGTTGGGCAGATTACACACTTCTCTTCCTGTTCTGCAAGGATGTCTCTGGCGTCCTTTCCCCGTATACCGGGTGGTCCGTCACTACCTGGTCTCCCGTCTTTACCAGGTGCGCCTAGATGAAATTTATTACTTATAGGGAAGTAGATGCCCTTAAACTTTAGTTTGGCTAAGAAATAAGTTTACACAAACAGGCGGTGTTTTACATGAAAATAACCGGAACATCTTTCTTTCCCACTCTTAATCAAGATTTGAACACTTTTTCATTATAAACGTTTTTCAAACCTAAATTTAGTGATGAACTCTAGTCAAGACCAATCAGTGTTGAAGAGAAAAAAAACTTTGTATGTGTACTTAATTTAAATGATAGTACGGCATAACCTAATATGAGACGGTGATGTAAGTTAGCTTCCAACAGTACCAGGAAGGCCAGGTTTGCCAGCTGCGCAAATAATTGCTCCTGATCGCCTCTGTCGGTCAGTTGAGTCCACGATTACGGCAATGTCTTCCATCAAAGCCTGAAGTATTAATCATAAGTGGCAAATATTTAGTAACTCGCTGAGTCCACCTAACACATTTGTAACTGTCATGAAAAAAACTGATGAAAATCTGTCCTTTAAGCGAAACGTAAGTTAAAGTGATTTTCTTCGTATTTTTGTTGAGCAAACGCGAGGTGTTACTATTCTTTGTTCACGATTAAGCTGACGTTTCGGCGGATTTTGCCTTCTTCAGAGCCGCTTCCTATGAGGTTTCCACTAAGTATGTCACGTAGAGTATGCCATTATATGCACATTATACTTCCACGTGATTTCTGTGCGGTTGGTCTCTACGTGACATACTTAGTGGAAACCTCATAGGAAGCGGCTCTGAAAAAGGCGAAATTCGCCGAAACTTCAGCTCATCCATGAATAAAGAATAGTAACACCTCGCGTTTGCTCAACAAAAATACGAAGAAAATCACTTGATCAATGCCGAGGTTAATAGAAAGTCGGTAGTGTAAGTTAAAGTTACTTTCCTCGTAATAGTCAGATGACTATAACAGTCTTTTTTCACCTTAAAATGACGTTTCAGCCATCAATCATAAAAACAGTGCTATAACAATAAATTGTATTTTGGGCACAATTAACATCACGTCGGCATTATCGTTATTCATCAGTAGTTTCTAATTTTTCGTCCGTCCCGTCCATTCTATCTTACCTTCTTATTATGTATGAGTAACGAGCGTGAAACCGAAAGAAAACCGTACATACTTTAAAACCCTGTAAACTCTGTCGAACAGAATCACGAGAGTTTTCGACTCGTTTCACAATCAACGGCATGTATGCTAACTGAAGGATAACGGTTACGGTAGAGAGTATAAGCGTCAGGTATCCCGCATAGTAGAACCACATCTGACAAATAAAAGTCTTTAAAACCACATTTTAAAAAGGTGAGCTTCGGAGTAGGAATATTTTGAATAAAACATAAAATGTTTCATAGAACTCTACACAATACAACAGTTACACATTCCAATGATTTAAAACTTCATTGTAACGGTGTGTTCCTTGCTGTTGAACTATAATCAATGCACACTGTCTTTCACGATCCGCAGAAAGGTTTTTCAAGCTGAGAAAAAACTGCATTTGTAAAGCCCGTCCAAGCGCAAACCGATGCCAAGACACAATGAAGCCATGCTAGCAAACTTGTGGCAAGGTAGCAAATTTCCCTCTGATCCACAATGGGCAGTGACTACCTGTACTGACGAAGTTTGGAAACCTTAACAAGGCTATTTCGAGATTCTAGGAAGGTTAAATCTTATCTAAGCAGCCCTACTATTAGCAGCAGTTTAACATTCAGTAGGTTGAGTGCTGAACCATAGAAAGCTTTACTATTGAGCTTTACTATTCAACATTCACAGAAGCACAAGTTGCGCAGTTCATCACCATCATCATCGTCATAATCATCACTATCCCTCTGAAAACGACAAAATTAAGCAAGTACTGTATTGATACGAAAAATCATGGTCAAATTGACATGCCAGGCTAACAAAAACTTTTTAAATCGAGTGAGATATTGCATTCGTTTTAGTGTTCAACAACTTCAATGATGCTGAGATATTTGTATAAACTCCGGACCGTAGGTGTCTGCGGTGGGGAACGAACGCACTATTGTCCTTTCCGGGGAGTAACGCGTTCACCACCACACCACGCGGGTCCACCGTTTCGTTGTCTCTCAGCTAGTTCTATCGATCTCTGCCATCAGCAATCACCCGTCAGCGGGATTGAACTGGGGAGCCCTAATCGGCTACCTGAGGCTGTTGTTATAATCACAGTTTTAACTTAATATTAATTCCCATAGAGAAACACAATACAATACAACGCTAGCTGACGTTTCGGCAGCATCGCCTTCTTCAGAGCATGGAAGGGTATACTGATATGCAATCTACTAGGCCAAACGCTTCAATACCACTTACAAAAAGACGAAAAACTCTATGGTAATTACACGATCAACAACTCGAAAAACCCAGCGCTTTTTCTTGCCTTCCAATGAGGAGGTTTAGAACAGCTGATTATAGTCGCATGTGGTTGACGACTGCACCATCCCACATCAAAAATTGATGCGAACATACGGGATCAGGTCGCGTATGACCTCCGGGCATTCATCTCTGCTATTCATTGTAGGGTTTTTGGCATTTATCCAAAAAGTCTCAAAAAGTTTTCCCACTGGTGTTTTAGTCTCCTGTACGAGGTTATTGACTTTTACTTCAAAATCGTCTGCGCTATGCTTTCGTACCCTATGCGTGCCTAGTGGGGTGCTTCGTCTTAGTTTTCGTTTGCCATTTAGGTGTTCCTTTATACGATACACAAAGGCCTGCCCGTTTCGCCAATATATTCACCTCCGCAATTATTACAAGAGATCTAATTTCTGATGTGGGTTGGTGCAGTCGTCAACCACATGCGACTATAATCAGCTGTTCTAAACTTCCTCATTGGAAGTCACGAAAAAGCGGCTCTGAAGAAGGCGATATTGCCGAAACGTCAGCTAGCGTTGTATTGTATTGTTTTTTATGGAAGTAAATGTATGCTGTTTAAAAACCTCGCGATTGCTGAACAAGAAAACGACGCATTCATATTCCAATGCCGAGGTTACTAGAAAGTCGATCCTGGGAACTATTAATATTTACTACTTTTTTAGCAATTGCAAAAGCGACTTTTCTAAATTAGTTCACTTTTAGTGAAAACTAGCTGACAGACAGGCAAAACAAAAGACCCGCGTGGTGTGGTGGTGAACGCGTTGTTGCCCAGAAAGGACAATAGCACGCTCGTTCCCCACCACAGACACCTGCTGTCCGGATTCTTGCAAATACCTTAGCATCACTGAAGTTATATTTCGCAACATACCCTGCCCTTAAAAAGGATGAGCAGTAAATAGTAAGTTAAAATTGTTCAACAACTATTGGCAGAAGGCACACGAGCCCGGTTTGCAAACGGCTAGTTAAAGTGCTCCAACCTCGTTTTTATCTCGTATGGCTTTTAGTATTTATATCGGTTATTGTATCAAATCTAAAAATTTTTCTTACATGAAGCATTTTGGTTGGTAGATCAGACATGGGCTACATAACTCTTTTTCAAGTGGGCTATATGGGATTAAAGACAGATGGAAACGAAACCTGTCCAAGTACCACTAGTGAAATAGGTTATGAGAGGTCAAAGTTATTATTTACTGGCTTGGTCTAACTTAGAAAATCTTTTAAACAATTATTTTGATGAGTGCATATATTGCGATGTTTGATTGAAAGCATTCGAACTGAATACTGTACAAAGCTAAAACCATATGTTTTATGTAGTGAAGCACACGGGAAGCAGACAGGGAGAAGTTCGGAGTTATTTCGAACAATGAAGACTTGTAGCCCCTGGGTGAAAGAAGCAAGCTACTGTGAAAGTTCTTCTACCAAAAACATCAAAAACGACCTTATTGAAAATGTGCAACATTTCTGGTGTCCGTCAGTTGGCTGTAGTCAACTAGGCAACTCATTTCTTCGTGTGACTTATTTAAAAGTCGTGTGAAAGAATTTTCCATCAGGAACCCCAGCTTTGAGTTAACCAATACCAGGATCCGTCACCGCCCTGGTGTAAAACGAGTCGCATGGTGGTAAATCTCCTTCTGATTCACAAGGTCGGAAACTGCCTGTGGTAGGAACGACCTGGGGTAGACTTTGGCATGGCTGACCTCGGGACTTCAGGGAACCATAATGGCTAAATCTGCAAAACTCCAAAAAATGGAGAATATGCTGGGATCCGCACAACCAGCGCGGACGGGTCATCAAAGTGTCCAAGTATGAAGGAATTTTTGCTACTTTTTGAGGAAATTTGAATAAGACGGGAAGCAAGAACAGTGATCTTTAAAATAGATTAACTAATGAAGGCCGAATATCAGCCCGTGTACGTGCAAGTGTTACCTTATTGCACTGAGTTTCATAGAGAACGACTCTCTGAAAATCACGACAATACTTTACTACAGTAGTTCCTTTCGTACAAGCTCAGCTTCAGCTGTAGACATCATATTGCTTTCTCTTTATATCGAGTGGAAAACGTAAATAAAAAACAATAAGAACTTCGTGCGAAAACCGAGCAATGTTTCTCATAAAAAACGAAAAGACAAAGGTAGAAGATTGTTGGACAGATTTTTACAGTGCTGTTGCTGAAAACATAAAGAGAACTAACGAAAAGGTAAGGTAAGGGTGTTGCTAGTTAAGTAGAGAAGACCCGAACAAAGGGCAAAAAAATTTAGAGAATTCGGTCGCTAAAGAAAACGAACACATTCGTTTTTCTTAGTAGCTCGTTTCCCAGATTGCGAAAGAACTGGGTAAGAAAAATCAGGTCGAGTTATCGTTGACCCGATTCCTCATACAACTGATACGAGATCGAAATCAACAGTTGCTGATGCGGAGAAGTTAGATAGCTCTAGAAACATAGTACACTTCCGGAATTGCGCTGCTGAATATACAAAAACAGATTCGTCAACTAATTAAAATTTGTTCTTTTACCGTATGTAATCGTTTTTTAACGCAATGTTTTGCATTGCCACACCTGCTCTATTAGATACATTATTTGTCGGCAGTCAACGTTTCACTTTTTTTAGTTTGGATGTATTAGCGACTTTTCGGCGAAACCAAGCGAACACAGATTTTTGACAGTCTCAAGATTAAAAGTCCACTAATGGAATAAAAAGGTGCATTCTTTCTTCCTCATAGATTTAAAATTAACAATGTTTGTTCCAAGCAGTTAATGATTGCTTTGTGGAAGCTATTGACTCGGTTTGGACCACTTCTCTTCGCAAAGAGTCTATCTAGATGGTTCAGTGTCAGCGACCAATCAAAACCCAACAATGCTCGGCAGAATTAACTCTTACATCAATTATACCTGCCACTGCTTAGCCTGATAATCAGGCTAACATGTGGGTATATTCACAAATTTCACCTTATATCTCCGTTTTCTTACTTTCTGGCACATCTTTATAGTCCTTTGTGATCGTTCGACGTCGACTTGGATACGTAGTCCAGAGATAGTGTTCAGAGAGTTTTAAGCTACTGTTCGTTCACGGCTTAATTTAAGATGAAAGCTCTTCACTATGAAGCCTATACAAACCACCGCAATGATCGGCTTCCTCATGACGAATTAACATTGTGGAATATCCAATCAAGCTGCTCGGATTTAAATCTCGGCTTCGAAGCCTTTGGCACATGAACATCAAAAACCGGTGGCTTCTGATCACTGCCAAAGTTATAAGGAAGTCTGGCGTTCCGAATTACTAATCAAGCTCAATTATAACATTCCTAGCCTATTATTTTAATGTTGATTCAATATTCTCGTTTATCAACTGTCACCAACAAAGGAGTTGAGAACAACTTCTCATTTCTCCTGAGATTTCGGCGACATTGTGATGTTCATGACTGAAATGATTCGTGTCAAGTGTAACCGGCATAGTAACTTCTTGCGAAATGTGAGTCTCTGAAGTAGCATTGAATCGAAATGAAGGGGTAAGGCCTTAGCAAGGCTATCTGCAAGGAGAATTGATTCGACCAGTATTCTACGGCAATCATTAAAAAGACGAAATCCTCGAGTAGCGGCCGAAATAATATGCAGAATGTTCGAAGATTAATGTGGATGGACGTTAGGTGCGAAAAAACCGATCGAACGCAAGAAATGGTGATTCCACATGATAGATCTGATTGCATGTTTTGTAGAAGAAATTTTTTCATAAAAAAAATTGCCTGCTATCGGCCACCAACTCAAAATTGTCAACCTTCTTAATTCAAATTAACTTTTAAGCCGTTGGAACCGTTGGAACTATATTAGAAACATATATTCTTCATGACACCAATTCTGGCATTTTGTTCGTGCGACGTTCAGTTCCACTAAATTTCTCTCTATTCAATCTTGTTCCATCCGATCTGACTTAGGCTGCCTCCGATTTTACTCACATCAAACAAAAATAACTGTACGACCAATCCTATAGTTTGAACACAACATGGATCAAAAAGTGATGCTTCACCGCTCCTTACTGTGTTGCTGTGATGAAAGCACAGTGAATAAATTGCTAATCAAAAGCGCTACCTTTCACACACTGTTGATCCACTGAACATTGTTCTCGTTGTCCTTACTCTCCTAAGACCTAGCGTCGCACCTTGGGAAGATACATATCTATGATCACAACGATGCTGAGATAATAGCGAAATTTGGACCCAGACCAGATCGGACCACGATTACCCCTTCCGCGACTCGCGTACTACACACTGCGCCACGGAACCTGCTGCACTGCGTTTTTTGAAGTAGGTGAGAGAAACGCAGAGCAAGCATATCTGCGGTGGAGTGTGTATTACGCCAGCCCCGAAAAAAGTAGTCATATTTCGATATGGCTCGGGGCCCAAGTTTTGCGAATACGACAGCATCGCTGTGGTTGTATTTCACATAATACCCTGTCGCGAAAAACTACAGCAGGCAGAAAGCAAAAGTTTAACATATTTGTTTATGTGATCTTATAAGCTGATCTTCTCTAGCTGCTGTGAGGTTGGTATAGGTCTTCGTTGCCATTGTCGTTGTCGTCGTTGTTGGTGTTCTTGGTCGATGGCTGACGTTTCGGCGACTTCGCTTTCCTCAGAGCCTGGACGTATTTTATACAAGACTACTTTAATTATTCGGTGGAAAAAAGGCCAAAGTATTAATGAAGATCAAACTTTTAAACAGACGCCATATTAAACACAAAGGCTACTCACCGTGATGTTACGAATGGAACTGGCCCACGAACTGGTTCAAGTGGGGTAGCGAGAAAGACACACCAAGGGGTCAAAATGTCATTTTGAAATGACGCGACAGGTCACGTGTGATAGTGTGGCATTCGTCTTTCCGGTTCACCTTTGGATTTCTGAAATTTATTCAAAACACTTCAAGAGTTTGGCGTGTTGAAGTTTTCTATTGCTGCGCTAGAATCCGCATAGTCATTTCAAAATCGGGTGATTGCTGATGGCAAAAAGATCGATAGAAATAGCTGAGAGACGTGCGAAACAAAGGACCCGCATGGTGTGGTGGTGGACGCGCTACTCCCCGGAAAGGACAATAGCGCGTTCGTTCCCCACCGCATACACCTGCGGTTCGGAGTTTTGCAAATATCTCAGCATCATTAAAGTTATATTTCGCAATAATACCCTGCCGTTAAAAAGAGTAGGCAGTAAATAATAAGTTAAAATTGTCATTTCAAAATCGTCGCCATTGTGCTTTTGTGCCCTATGCATACCCAGGGGAGTGTTTAGACGGACTTTAGCTTTTCCATTTAGATGTTTTTATGCGGACACAAAGTGATGTACCCGTTTCCCCGATATATTCCTCGCCGCATGCATTACATGAGATCAAGTATGTTACATCTGAACACATGCAATCCCGTCTCTCTCGTTAGTACAAATCATACAGTTTTTTGAGCTGCACAAATGATCAAAGAGACGGTTGCGAACTAACTGACGGCGTAGTGTATTGGGTAGTTATGGTTATGTAATTTCCAGGACCACTTTTTTTAAGCATCTCTTAATGGCGCAACCTGCATAATTTGGTATGAAGGGTAGCTTAGAAGGGATCTTACTTACGTCCGAAACACTGCTCTGGGAAACCACCCTACTTTTCTTTAACCCGAGTGAATTCTACTTCGTAGCCATTCGAAATGGCTATTTTTCGTGCCAGGTTTAGCGAGTTTAGCGAGCGAGACATTCAGAGTTACCATGCTAAGAGGCATAACGCTTCCGGAAAACGCGTTCCTTGTTAGAATTAGGTCCGAGTTTCGCACCTAGTCAACTATTTCTAAACCAATCCTGAGCAGTATCACGTGTACTCTGCATAAACTTCAAAATCAGCTACGTTACAGAGCTAGGCTAGAAAGGTTAGGTGAAGTAGTACCAAGGGAAGAACTACCACCAATACCTTTTCCCCCGAACTTTCTTTAAACAAGAGCTACCAAAGAGCGATATTGACCCTCCATTTCGTTTATTTTTGGACGAAATTCTCTGCATACTTAATCACTACCAAAAAAGAAAAGTAAGCTCCAACCTCACACACCAACAATAATGTGATATGCGCCAGTTTAGAGAGTTTTGAATTCAAAATCTATTAGGCTTTCTATTAGTGATAAAGGTGGAGAATTTGTAGTTTTCCTAGTCAATTGGATATTAGAATAACAGAAGAGCACCTCAGTGGTGTTTCTCTCTATCGAACATCCTCTGAAAAGGAATACAGAAGTCAATACCGAAAATTAAATCAAGAATAGGTCAAAAAGGCAAAGGCAGCTGGTTTAGAGCCTTCGGTTATTTCTCAACTTAGAAACGAACACCCACTTTGCCCTGTCTTTTACTTGCTTATTAAAACACATAAGCTTATTTCAACTGATGATATTACGTCCACAAACTCGTTATCATTTAAAGTTAGACCTATTATCAGTTGTTAGGCGCCCCAACGGATAGAATAACGTGGTTCATAAACCTTATCCTGACCCAGTTACTAAAAATCATTACAACCCATTTACCCAACACCAAAATATTTCTATACCACCTACGGTACGCGCAACCAAACAGCACACACGTAGTGGAGTCATTCGAGGTTACTTCACTTTATAACAACGTGTCGAATGACTCCGCCATGCAAGCCATTCTCGAGTTGCTCGTAGAGCACGAGAAGAAAATAAAAATGTACGGCTTGTCGATTGCGCAACAAATCACTTTTTTAAAACAGTGTCTTAGTTGTTTAATCTCCAGGTGGTCTGGAAAATATTTTACACAAATTAGAGGGTTGGCCATAGGATAGCGTGTAGCACCAAGCCTTGCCATCGCTTTCATGTTTAAGGTGGAAGCTCCAGTTCTCGATCACCAACCTTTGCTCTACTGCCGATACATAGACGACTGCTTCATCGTGTGTTCCATCCAAGAACAGATGGATGAGTGCTTTGAATTGTTAAACCGACAGTCAGAGTATATAAAATTTAAACGAGAAAAACCTACCGAGAACTGGCTTCCATTCTTAAGCATTCAAATAAATAAAGCTCTTAGAATCTGCCTATATAATAAATGAGTATCGTAAGCCAAGTAGTAAAAACATTCTGGTTCACTACCTCTCCTCTCATCCTTCACACATGAAAAAAGGACTTATCAAAAACATGTATCGTACGGCTAAAAATATGTGTACAGGAGAAGAGGAAAAGAAGGAATCGCGAAACCTGGCACAAAAAATTGCCATTTCCAATGGCTACGAAGTAGAAGCCACTCGGGTTAGAGGAAAACGCTGGGTAGTTTTCCAAAATAATATTTCAGACGAAAGTAGGATCCCCTTTAAGCTACCCTTCATATCAAAAGAGGAAAGTTCCGCCGTTAGGAGTTGCTTTGAAAAGTAGTGAAAATTATGTAACGATTATTGACGTCCCACCCAACACCCTACACCGTCAGTTAGTTCGCAACCGTCTCTATGATCGTTTATGCAGCTCAGAAAACTGTACGATCTGTCCTAACAGGAGAGACGAGGATTGCATGAGTTTAGGTATAACATATTTGATCTCATGTAATGCATGCAGTGAGGAATATATTGGGGAAACGGGTAGACTACTTTGTGTCCGCATAAAAGAACATCTAGATGGAAAAGCTGAAATCCGTCTAAACACCCCTCTAGGTATGCATAGAGCACAATAGCACAATGGCGACGATTTTGAAATGACTGTGCGGATCCTAGCGCAGCAATCGAAAACATCAACGCGCAAAACCCTTGAATCGTTTTGGATAAATTTCAAAAATCCAAAGATGAACCGGAAAGACTAAGCCGCACTATCACACGTGACCTGGCGCGCCATTTTAAAATGATATTTTAACCCGTTGGTGTGTCTTGCTCGCGACCCCACATGAACAACGCGTGATCCAGTCCCACTCGTAATATCACTGTGAGCAGCTTTTGTGTTCAATATGGCGTCTATTAAAAGTTCGATCTTCATTAATACTTTAGCTTTTTCCACTAAATAATTAAGGTATTCTTGTATAAAATACGTCCAGTCTCTGAGGAAGGCGAGGTCACTGAAACCTCAGCCATCGACCAAGAACACCAACAACGACGAGAACGACAACTAAGACCTATACCAACCTCACAGCAGCTAGAAAAGATCAGTTTATAAGATCATATAAATAAATGTATCCACTATCTATGCTGGAGTCTATAGAAAGTCAGATTTTTAAGTTATTAAAAGTTTAACACTATATATGCTTATGTATGCATATATATAGATATGTATACATATATATATATATATATTAACATGCACCTGCTGCACTACTGATCATCTTTTCATAACCATTATTTTCATGCTGTGGATGTTGATGCACTACATTGTGATGTTTCATACAGTACGCATATACATACAAGAGAATAGTTGTGCTGGTGTGGTATCTTTTATTGCAATCATGGTGGCTCTCTAATAGCATCCAAATGCAGATATTTCAACCCCTTTATTGCTGATCGTCGAAAAATTAGAGGTAACCTATTCCTGCACTAGAAGAGGCAACACCATCATTTCTGTGTCCTTTGCACGAATGAACGCCTCTCTTGATGGTAGTTCACCTTCCGCGGCCTTAACATGTAAGAATTAGCTGAAAATACTACAAGCGGTTCGTTAATATATCGAATAGAAAACTGACCCTTGTCGTAACTAAAACTATCTTATCAATCTTAGCAGCACCGTTCTGTCGTAGAATATCAATCCTGGACGATCTGCCTGGTTCCACCACACCAAACACCGGATTCACACGATACAACATGTTATCGGAGCACCTCACCTGAATTGGAGATCTTCCTAGATGCTGTGCACAATTCCCACATTTGCTCTGTATGGCTCACCTTGAAGAACTTGCGCTCATTGGTGTCGTTTACAATGTTTACACCTTTCAATCCTCCTATCGCCTTGTAACTTAGCTCGGCCGGTTCCACGCGTAGTTCAGAAGGTTTCGCTTCAAGTGAACGTGTGCATGAGTAAACAGTAACCCTACTGCGGTAGACTGGGGACACAACGTGCAAATGAAAAATATTATAAACTCCGTAGAATCGTAAAGGCCAGAAATGAAATTCATGACGAAAACCAAAACCGTGGACCTGTTGACCAAGTTAAAAGATGAGTGATGCATGGCGTATTGATTATCTATTTATCTAGTTCAATCAGTCTTAGGATTTAGTTAGGCTTCATCACCCTAGATGATCAACTTGTAGATGACTACCAAAACACCAGCACACTCGAAAAAGTTTTCTTGTATGGCATTTACATAAGGTGGTCTTTTATGATTTATACCTCTTAGCGTCCTCATACTACAAATTATTCCTTGTCAACTTTGCAATGGAACGCGTTAAACTTAGTGCAGAATCAAGGAACCACAACAACTAACGAAGGCACGCAGAGGTAGAAAAACAGATTTCATTTAGGCAGACGTTGGGGAAAGAGGTTGGACGATAGATCACTAGTCAGAAGGAGGCGCACTTTAACACGGTTGCACTAAACACCTTGGAAACAGGTTTCACTTTTTCAACATACCTGGCGTTGAAGAAGAAACGACCTGAAATGATAGTTCACAACTTAAAGCTTTGAAGCCAGAAGCGAAAAATAAAAACTACGCGTCTTATCGCTAGGATTTAGCTGTGGTGAACCAGTAACTTATACGGATACTATGTAAATGTGAGTGGTCTTAATAGTCCTAGATATCATTGATAAAACTCCTTTATTGTTAGTTGTCATTGTTAGTTGTCGTCAACATAGATTCGGTCTTTCTGCTAAAACAGTATTTTCACGGCTGGCTGCTCACCTTGCGGCTTTTGCTCGATCTAGAGCTCTTCCTACTCCTTTGCGACTTGCTTCGTCTTCTGAGCACCAGAAAAAGAAGGTTTACTTCAGTAGACAAAAACGATGATAATTGCGACTCATGCTGCGGGTACTAGGTTCAGCACTGTCAGTTACATCATAAATCCGGTGACCTACGACCGTACACGAAACACGAGATATTTCCATTCCGCGCGAAATAAATGTTTAAAGCTTCGTTCCGCTATTAAAACAGATTATCTGTAGGATTCTGAAATGCCATTGGCTCAATCGATGCACGAGCCACCCAATGTGTGCCTTCAGATTTACTGCGCTGTCACTATGAGCTTTTCCACGACCCTATTATCACACATCGCCGGCCCTACGTTCCATGTACGTTAGAATAATGGCTGTTTCGATATGAGTAAATTCACTTACGATCTGCTGCTTTTTATCCTCCTCGACGACTAAAATTAGGCAACATCTTAAATAAGTGTTCTCACTTAAACCAAGAATGGAAATTTTTACTTTAGAGGACTTGCTCTTCTTGCTTCGCTTGCTTCGTCGAGACTGCCTACTCTTGCCTGATATGTTGCTCTTTGATGACGTTTCTTTCCTTCGACTTTGCGAACGACCAGATTTAGACGAGGAACGCCTTTGTTTTCCTGATCTTCCCGATCTAGTTGATTTTCCAGACCTTCCCGACTTTCCTGACTGCCTTGCCGACTTCGATGACTTTCCGGCACTTACTCGGTTCTGTAATGACAATTAATACTGGGTTTGAAACAAATATTGACCAAAGGAGAAGCAGAGTAACTTTCATGCATTAACTCACCGTATCACCACACCCGAATATAGCGACCGCCCCAGCGGGCACCGCAAGTAACCACCACATATGCAACACCACACCGTAAAATTGTGCTTTTAAATATGGTCTTATCGCATTGAAACATTCGTGATAATGATCTTCCGTCTGTCACTTCTAAGAAGAAACGATGGCAACAAGCCGATATAAAGCACGGTCGAAATCGTTTAAGTGGGATGCACTTCTGGTTTCAAACAGCAACGATAAAATTCACTGGAGTTAAGTAAATCGGTTAGTTCCTTGACTAATGTGAACGAAAGGCGGTTGTCGTAGCAAGGGAAATTTGCCATCTGTTTCTCATTCGCTTCCTTACTAAAAAACATTTGTGCAATCGAACGAAAAAAACAGCTTTTTAAGGGTGTGAATCTCTCACTTTCATTGTAAAAGAGCTAATACGAGACAGTAGTAATATTATACCAAAGAATAGCAGAAAATTCGATTTAGAACTCATAAGTAAGATTGTATGGATATGGATAAGCAGATGAAGTTCAAATTTTAGAAGCAATTATTGATGTGGTCATTGAATGTATCACTCCCAGGTATAGCGCTTCGTTGAAAGATTTACCCTACCATTTCCCAGCGACTCTCGGCCCCCAATCGCAAGAGTCGCTGGCCACGCAAAATTCACTATTGTTTTGAAGAAACGAACTAGTGGCACAGAAGACAGCTCTCCTACTTACAAGTCTCGAAAACTCTCTGTGGAGAGGAAATATGAATATTTCAACTTATTGGCTACGCTTCCTTTTTAAACTACTTCGACGACCTGCCAACTTATTTTTGTGAGCATATGCTTTGCTTGTGTGGCGAAGTGATTGGAGGCGCTACTGCGACACCGTGAAATCGATCGCCGCTCCCATGGCCCACCAAGTCTTTCATCCCTCCAAAGTCGGCAAATTGGTACCAGACTTGTCCGGGAGGATTGCAGCACAGGCTCGACACATCGGCAGGCCACCGCGAGTCATTGTGAACGCCAGATACGCATTCAATCACCTCCAACGATATTTAATGAAGTCGAATGCATGGCGTAACCCTCAGGGATCGATCAACGCCGAGAGCTTTATCCTCTTTTATATACCTTGCTGTACCTTGCAAAGTGTTTTTAGAAGCTTAGCAATGGTTTTATATTTTTACTTTACACCACCAGGCATGTGCTGACCCCGCGAGTTTTTTTGTGTACCAATTTGCTTTTAATAGCTATGGCGTTCTGTGAGGCAAAATGCGGGCCCTTTGTTTTGAAGAATACGTGCAGCCATAAAACGTCACATAAAAAGGACCAGTCTACAAAATTCGGTAAAAGTGATAGAAATACCACCGGACACTCTAAGATGCCAGCTAGTTAGCAACCGCCTGTATGACCGTCTGCGTACAGCGAAAAACTGTGTTATTTTTTTCTAACGGTGGAAACGGTGATTGCATGAGGAGTTTGGGTACAGTCTTCCTGATTTTTTGTAAAGCGTGCGGGAACGAATACAATAGCGAAACGGGTAGACCGCTCTGTGTCCGCTTAAAAGAACACCTAGTCGGTAAATTTAAACTAAAACCAAACACTAAACTAGGTTCTCATAGAACATAGAAACATAACGGAGAAGATTTTGAACTAGAAGTCACTACTCTCACACAGAAATCCAAAACATCAGCGCATAAAACTCTTAAAGCATTTTGAACAACTTTCAAAAATCTGGAAATTAACCACAAGGAGGAGTGCCTAGTGAGCACGCGTACCATACCTCTTGCTCATTCCATGGCCTGACGCAGGAATATTCCTCGCCCAAGTATTACTCTGTGCGGCTGCTCTACATTAACAACTGGAATGTTTACGAAGAATAAAACGGTGAGTGCTTAAATGAAGCTGTCTCTTATGCGAATGCAAATCTATGTGTTAAGTCTTATTTGATAAGGTTATTAAAGCGTTTGCGTCGTTTTCTTGTTCAGCAATCGCTAGGTTTTTAAGCAGCATACATTTACTTCCATAGGAAAACACAATAAAATACAACGCTTGCTGACGTTTCGGCAGTATCGCCTTCTTCAGAGTCTGGAAGGGTATACTGATATGCAATCTACAAGGCCAAACGCTTCAATACCACTTACAAAAAGACGAAAAACTCTATGGTAATTACACGATCAACAACTCGAAAAACCCAGCGCTTTTTCTTGCCTTCCAATGAGGAGGTTTAGAACAGCTGATTATAGTCGCATGTGGTTGACGACTGCACCATCCCACATCAGAAATTGATGCGAACATACGGGATCAGGTCGCGTATGACCTCCGGGCATTCATCCCTGCTATTCATTGTAGGGTTTTTGGCATTTATCCAAAAAGTCTCAAAAAGTTTTCCCACTGGTGCTTTAGTCTCCTGTACGAGGATATTGACTTTTACTTCAAAATCGTCTGCGCTATGCTTTCGTACCCTATGCGTGCCTAGTGGGGTGCTTCGTCTTAGTTTTCGTTTGCCATTTAGGTGTTCCTTTATACGGATACACAAAGGTCTGCTCGTTTCACCAATATATTCGTCTCCGCAATTGTCACAAGAGATCAGGTATATCGTACCTGAACTCATGCAATCACCGTCCCTGCCGTAAGGGCAAATTACGCAATTTGTTGTTTCACGTAAACGGGCATACAAGCGGTTACGAACTAACCGACGACGTAAAGTAGCCGGTGGTATTTCAACTATCGCTACCGATTCCTCTAAACCTGCCCTTTTTAAGTATCGTTTTATAACTACGCTTACTTCATCGCTTATAAAAGGCAACATAAACGGAACTTTGTTTTGGCCAAGTGTTTCGCGTGGGCGAGTCGCTTTCCTTCTAAACTTATCTCGTGGGGTTACTATTTCGTAGCCATTGGATATGGCTATTTGCCGAGCCAAGTTGCGCGACTCTTCCTTTAGTTCCCTGGTAGTGCACACAAAGGTGGCTGTTCGAAACATGTTTCTCACAATCGCCCTCTTTGTGTGTGAAGGGTGGGAAGAAAGGAAATGAACGAGGATGTTCTTGTTACTTGGCTTTCGATACCACTTTGTCAAGTAACCGCTGCTTGATAGGTTTATTTTAATACCCTACAATTAATAGCAGGGAGGAATGCCCAGAGGTCATGCGCGACCTGACCCCGTATGTTCGCATCAATTTGATGTGGGATGGTGCAGTCATCAATCATATGCGACTATAATCAGCTGTTCTAAACCTCCTCATTGGAAGGCACGGAAAAGCGGTGGGTTTTTTCGAGAAGTTGTTGGTCATGTAATTACCAAAGAGTCTTTCGTCTTTTTGTATGTGGTATTGAAGCGTTTGGCCTAGTAGATTGCATATCAGCATACCCTTCCATGCTCTGAAGAAGGCGATACTGCCGAAACGTCAGCTAGCGTTGTATTGTATTGTGTTTCTCTATGGAAGTTAATATTAAGTTAAAACTGTGATTGTAACAACAGCCTCAGGTTGCCGATTACGGCTCCCCAGTTCAATCCCGCTGACGGGTGATTGATGATGGCAATTTTATAATACCAACCTCATGTCCTCTCATTGAAGAAGCACGACGAATTGTCAATGAATGCCAAGGTTAACAGAAAATCGGTCTTCGGTATTGCTACATGAAGTGCCTGCAGAATATTTCCGATTTATTCACTCTTCAAATAAACGCAAGCGTTTGTTTTTGTGGGCGTCATTGCAGATCTCTTTAGTTGTCAGTGGCAGATCTCCTTTTTTTATTCACCACAACTGCTTTCTTATCACAGTGAATTCATGGGGTTCAAGATTCGATCTATGGCAGCACACCTTGATCCGATCTACATGTGCTTACAGCTTCCTATTGCTGAAGACGTAGAAACGCTTCACCATGGCCAAGAATCTGAGTCACAAGGAAGCAAGCCGTTTCACTTGATGCATTGGGCTACGCTACTGCATGGCATATGCTTGAGAATAATTAAGCACGCGTTTTCCATAATTACAGGTAACATCACGCTCAATCAGCAGTAATCATAACAGTGAGGAAAGAAGGTAACAGCTCGTAAAGCGGGTGCCAAATCTACACGCGAATATGATCGCCTTCATGGGTGTTGAAACAAAAGGAATAGAATAGGGGATGTATTGAGGCTCAAACGACATATGATAACCACAATAGTAATAAAATACGAACAAAACCAGAAACTACAAGTGTATTTCGATCCTGTGATTATTCCTTCTGAGCAGGTGATCCGAGCCTCTGGTGAAGACGAAGATGTCGAAATATTGCGCAAATAAACTTTGTTATCAACCTCGTGTAAGCTTAGTAATCCAGAAAGGTATTGAATATTGATACCAGCGTTAAATGAAGGTCTACATAAAAATTATTCAATAACTATATCGGTTGAAAAAATAATCAGCAATGCTAATTTTCGTTGATTTTTACCTGCATGGTACATCTTTATACCCAGGTGAAACGGAAAATGAACCGTCTCCTACGTAAGCCCAAGAAATTCAATGAATACAGACAACGCTTTCGTGTTCGTTACATTAAACATTAAACCAAAGATATTCACGGCTGGAATTGACTATCAGATCCTCAAACTATCGCTGAAGCCAAATTCGATTGCTACAAAGTCGATGGATGCGGATTACAAGAGAGCGAAACGAAGGGATGGAGTGCTGGAAGGCTCACAAAACATAGAGGGGTGGTTGTCTAAGTATCTAACTGAACATATAAGACTGGCCTATTCATAATATGCAGATACCACTACTTTCTTCATACAGATCGCTTCTTCAAGCTCGTCATCCGCAAAGATACCAATATTTTGAGTGCGGATTCGGTTTTTTTTAAGGATTCAAGATATTATCCCTCTTAATGAATGTTGCCGATTATTTTTCCAGGTGATCCTAAAATCCGAGGATAGTTCTTCCAAGACATCCTCAAGTTTTCACTAGAGGCGGGCACCGGCGCTCACGGGTCTGGGCGAGCTGTTCGTGAACTGTACTTGTACCAAACTGCCAGCTTCAGAAGAGATGCGAAATTGAAACAGCAACCATGTGTACATTGCAACATGTCCAACTACTGTGCTTCAGGAAATAGATAATTGAATGGATAGCTCAAGATAAGAAAAAACGAAAGAAACACCGGCAAATGTTATGACTATTTCTCTGTCGCTGATCAATACCCATGCCACTCATATTGATGTAGAAGAGAATTCTTGCGTGATAATACAATGGTGATACACGAAAAATCCGTTGTTTATCATTCTTCGCACAAACACTACAAAGAGTTTCCACATAGAGCGGGACATAATAAACAACTGTTCTGCATAGCAGTTCGGAGAATTCGCAGAACCAAACACACTTGCACACAAATGTATCCATGTATACATTCTGCTATTATTACATCACACGTCATAATGTGTATATGCTTATCCCAGCACTTCTAGCATTTTATTCATTTTCCTCGCATTCATCGTCCACAAAGCTCTTCGAAAATTTCGCATAACGTGTCGGCTACTGCTTAGTAATTTCGCCTCCTTCATGAATGTTGTAGGGTACTGGTCGAGTCCATTCCCTTGCGGTGTGGAGATAGCCGGTTCAGGGCGTTCACACAAAGGCTGAGATAGGGCTATGGGAAGGGGTCAGACTAGCACCTTGCTACCCCTCCTGATGGACAGCATCACTAACCAGTCACTCCCACGACCGACTTTCTATTAACGTCGGCATTGATCAAGTAATTCTTCGCATTTTTATTGAGCAAACGCGAGGTGTTATTATTCTTTATTCACGAATAAGCTGACGTTTCGACGGATTTCGCCTTCCTCGGAGCCGCTTTCTATGAGGTTTCCACTAAGTATGTCACGTAGAGACCAACCGCACAGAAATCACATGGAAGCATAATGCTTATGCACATTATGGAAGCACTAGTGGAAACCTCATAGAAAGCGGCTCTGAGAAAGGCGAAATCCGCCGAAGCCTCAGCTTATTCGTGAATAAAGAATAATAACACCTCGCGTTTGCTCAACAAAAATACGAAGAACTAACCAGTCTATCATTACTGACGTTAATAGAAAGTCGGTCTTGGGAATTGCTATGTGAAGTGCCAGTAAAAAGCGATGATCTTCAGTGGTGTGTCACCTCATCGTGACTACACATTGTCTGACTTCCGTACTGTAACGAACTACGACGTAAAGTGAGTGCTTTTTTTTATTCCCCTCGAGAAGAAGACCGGTGTCTCTGTATGGAAACTTACCTACGGGCAAGCCAGTGCATGGAATTGCGGCCTCTCTAGTAGCAACTTGGGAGGAAGGTGTGAAATATCATTACGATTCAGAATGACTGCAAAAGGTAAGGCTAAGTACTTCCTGGAAAGGCTACCCTAAGGCCACAAGAAAAAGCTCATCCATTTTAAACGACACCCAACTTCCCAAACCATGGTAATTTCTGTCGTCTGGCGATAATACAATTGCTTAGAGGCGGCCGATTCCCACGTTGTATTCATTGGTTGTTCTGGGAAACGGATCAAAACAAAAATACGACAAATAATTAAAGAAAAAAAATTTTGTCAGGAGATTGCAGTGGCTAAGACTTAACGAAGCTCAGAGTTTTGAGCAAGAGAAAACCTGAGAGATATCCAGCTGCATGGTTCAATTTCCAGCGCAGTTCTTGTTTTGGTTCTTCTTGAAAATTTTTCTCCAGTCAATGACTCACTAGCACTTTCCTTGGAAGAAAGTGTTCCTATGTTCGTACAAGGTATTGATTCAACGTCACAGCCTTCGCCTCCAATTTTAGCATACTCGGCCACTGATGAGGTGCTAGATTACTATCTGAGCTATTGAACGCATGCCGACCCATAGAATTACAAGAAAAAACTTTTAGAAGTTCTTAAGTATAGCGTTCAGCAGTTCGCAGACCACGTCTAATGCTATGTCAATGTTGAATACGCTATCTAATTTTTCTTTCCTTGACACAACCGGTTTTCCATATCTACTGTGAGGATCCCACCATTACTCACTTTCTATTCGTTTTCTCGTATCCGTCATCCATGAAGGCCTTTCCAACTTCTTACATGTGGCCTTGGCTGCGTCTTGACGATCCTCTTATCCTTTCATCATGAACCTTACTGAATGCTCGTCACTATACCATCTATTAAAAACGAAAAATGTGAAAACTAAACTCCTCGCAAATTTAAATTTTTGTTTACTGCCTACTAGAATTTGCCACGGAAGGGCATTATTATGTAGAACCCTTACCAAAGTTCTTCACGGCAAGATATTATGGTGAATACAACTACAAAATGCTAAGATGTTTGCAAAACTACGCATCGCCGATGTCTGCAATGGGAACCGAACACGCCATTACCGTTCCTAGTGCCTAACGCGTTCACCACGACGCCATACATTTCCTTCATTTTGCCTTTCTCTTAGCGTAGGCGCAATCAACATTCAACGGTCAACAGGATAGATTTGAGATGATTGCTGACGGCACTGGTAGATAGAAAAGTGGCTAAACTGGCTGACAGGAAGGCGAAACGAAGGACCCGCATGGTGCTGTGGTGAACACGTTAGCCCCAGACAGGGTAATAGCGCGTTCGTTCACCACGGCACCACAGACACCTGTGGGGCGAAGTTTTGCAAGTATCTCAGCGTCTCCCAAGACCGACTGTCTGTTAACCTTGGCAATGATTGATAATCAGATCTTTTTCTTCAGTAAGCAGACACGAGGTTGTTGTTATAGAATTTATTAGGGTACAATAGCTGACTTTTCGTCTGTTTCGCCTTCTTCAGAGCCTGTAAAGGTCAAATTGAAATTCGATCTACTCAGGAAAACACTTTCATATCCCCAGCAGATAAAACTTAACAAATAAATTTGTATTCGCATAAGAAACTGCTACATTTAAACACCTACCGTTAATTTGTCATAAGTATTTAAGTTAGTTGGTGGATAGGAGCCGCACAGAGTAACACATGGGCGAGGATTTTACCTGTGTCAGACCATTGGATTAGGCTGAGGAATGGCGCCAGGTCACGCGTGATGACAAGGCACTCCTCCCTGCGGTGCATTTTTGAATTTTTGTAATTGATGCAAAACGCTTCAAGACTTTTACGCGCTGATGTTTTCGATTCCTGCGTGAGAATAATGACTCCTACTTCAAAATCTTCTCCATTGTGTTCCTGCATCCTATGCGCGGCTAGTGGAGTGTTTGGTTTTAATTTAGATTTACCGACTAGGTGTTCTTTCATGCGGACGCAGAGCGGTCTACGCGTTTCGCTAACGTATTCGTTCCGACACGCTTTACAAGAGATCAGATAGCCTGTACTCGAACTCATGCAATCGCCGTCTGACAGCAAATTATGCACTTTTTCGTCGTACACACACGGCCATTATAGGCGGTTATAAACTAGCTGGCGTCTTAGAGCGTCCGATGGTATTTCTATCACCCTTACCGAGTTCTCTAGACCGGCCCTTATTAAGCAACGTTTTATAGCTGCACTTATTTCGTTTGAAATTAAGAACAAGAGGAACGGAGCCTTGTTTTCGCTAGAATTATCGCTCTGGATGTGGTTTTTTCCTATTTGTCTATGCCGAGAAGCTACAGTTTAATAACCATTTGAAGTGGCTATTTGGCGCGCCACTTTCCACCAGTGAGTGGGTTAATTTTAATTTACGATTCTACTAAGTCGAATGCTGAAGTAACCTTGAGCAGGAAGTTTCAAAGGTTTTTAGATCATTCACAAAAACCAGCTTCAATTAAACAAAGCAAAATTGTTTGCGAAAGTGCTAACACTGAAAGTGTGGTCGATAACGCGTCTGAAAAGTCGAAGATCACCGTGTTAGGAGGCGTAATTCCCCCGATGCTGCGGTCTCGCTATTAGAATTGGTTCCAATTTTCTCACCAGCGCAGCCTATTTCTAAAGAAACCTTGCTTACGATCGCGTGCAACCCGCACGAGCTCCAAGATTGACTCCGCAGCCACGCTAGAATTGAGACACGAAATGAAAAGCAGCAACGGGAAGTTTGGGCACTACCACCACTTCCATTTTCTCGACTATTTTTTAGACAACAAGACTCTAACGGTGAAGTAGATATATAATCTCGCACCTTTTCTAGCGAAACTCTCAAAGACCTAAACTGCTATCGCGTGAGAAAATCTAGTTCTAACCCTACTGCTGCACAAAAATCTGGCATGCGACAGGCTCGGTAGCTAATAAAATCTATTAGACTATTAGATTAGCAGATAGTGATAAGGGTGAAGAGTCTGTAGTAATTCTTCCCCAGCTAAACGTTGATATAACGGGAAACTGGGAATAAACCAAGTTTAATTACACAAGTTTGAAAAGAATAGAGCAAATGATTCATCGCCGAAAGCATACCCCCTCTGATCCACATCGTGGTGAAGACCTGGATACGTCCTTGCAAGGCTAAGTTAGGACACCAGGGAGGACCAAGTTGCACGACCAGCAATTGGCCAGCCTCAGTACTCCGCACAATGGGCGCACCTGTCTATAACGTCAGGGGTGAGACGACCGGTGAGAGGCCAGGAAATCTTGGGTCCCGCAGGACGTCACTGGAACCGGATCTGACGAACACATGCACGACACGCCATGGAGATTGTTTTTTTACTATGTACGTATGATCCCAGAACACTCTCCAAAATCGCCGATCTCCACGCCCTTCCTGTAAACCACAGATCGCATTAAATTTTATGTGATGGCATTACAAGAAACAAAAATCAAGAAGACCTATATGCGCCATCTAAACAACGGGACCTTTGTGATCCGTGGAGAAAGGTCCGGTCACGAAATGCCACTGGAGTACGCTTTGTCGTCCACCCGTCAATTGTCCATCTCGTCGACTCATACGTGATCCTTTCCTCTCGCATAGCCGTCCTCCGTCTTCAACTATCGCAGCATAAGAAGATCACTATGAACAACTGCTACTCACCGACCGACGCAGCCGATGAGTGCGAATTAAATGCATTCTACTATCAGTTGGAGGAAGTCATTCGCAACGATAAAGTAAATCATAAATTTGTTGTTCGAGACTTCAACGCCAGAATAGGAAAGGCCAACGAGAGCGAATACAGGATCGGAAATTTTGGATTAGAAGAAAGAAATGAGAATGGAACCGTCTCGCAGGACTCCTGTCAGCAGCACGTCTCTTCCATGGAAACTCGTTTTTCCGAAAGAAAGAGAGCCGCCGCTGGACATGGGAGCCACCTACCTGCATGACTCATGCAGAGATCGACCACATTCTGACAAACAGATGATGGTGCCTACTTGACACATCGGTAGTCCCGTCATTCCGTACTAGTTCCGAACACCGCCTTCTTCGCGCGAAGATTCGATTCAGCCGCAAGCTGGAAAAGAACTCTCTTCGTAACTCGAAAGACCGACTTTCTATAAACCTCAGCATAGATACTTGATATATTCATTTATGTGATCTTATAAACTGATCTTCCTAAGCTGACGCGAATAAATATAGAGCTCTCTTCATCGACCACGAGGCAAAAGTCAACTGTGTACGACGAGCACTCTAAACAAAGTCCTGTCCAAACGTGACTGGTAGATTAAAAAAGACCTGACCGAAGACTACGAGCTGCTTGTCGAAGGACTGAAAAGTTGTGCTGAGTTAGCTTTAGTTCCTCAAGCAAGAAGATCGGATCGCATCTCCATCACTACTAAGGAGTTGCTCGAAAAGAGAAGGAAACTGAAGCTTGATCTTACTACAACACGTTTAACATGGCTGGTAATAAATGCCAGCTGCAGAAGAGCTTTGGAGAAAGATCAACAACGGTTCAAGCAGAACAAAATACTGCAAACAGCAGAGAAAAAAATCAACCTGAAAAAATGCCGACGGGACTTGCGTGATTATAATGTTCTGCTGTCAGTCCTGATGAAAGAAAATGGGATCGCTAAAACTTTCCGCCATGACATAGAATTAATAGCGGAAACGTTCTGCACCAACCTTTTATGTTTCACAACTCTTGTTCCTGACCCTAATATCCCCGCTGGAGAAAAACCACCTAGAATTCCTCTTTCGGAGGTTCGAGTAGCGACAGAAAGCATGAAAAAAGGCACAGAAAAAATCCCAGATTAGTGGAGGACGTCGCGCACAGTCATCCTGCCAAAGAAAGCAGACCGAAGCAATGTTCGTAACTATCGTCCCATAAGCTTGTTAAGTGTACTCTACGAGCTCTTCACGAAAATCATCCTTTCCCGCATATCAAGGAGATTGATGAGTCGCGACCAGTCGTGCAGGAGGATTTCGAAAAGGATTTTGCTGTATAGACCACATCCAAACCGTGTCCAGGGTCATCGAAGTTTATCGGAAATACCACTTGCCCCTAGCCTTAACCTTTGTCGACTATGAGAAAGCGTTTGACAGTGTCGAAACAAATGCAATCCTATCAGCGCTCGTCATCCCAAGGAGTGGAGCCGTCCTACATAAGGACTCTGTCCGACTGTTATCGGAAATGCACTACGAAAACACAGCTTTTCCATCGACCTCTTGCAACACCCATAGGAAAGACGTTCGACAGGGTGACACAATACCGCCGAAGCCGTTCAGTGCCGCACCGCAGTGGATAATGAAGGCTGGGATGAGAAAGGCATACATATTGATGAAAAATTCCTACCAAACCTTCTTTTGCCGACAACATTGTCGCCTTCTCAAGAAGTACTGGCGAAGCAGAGGTGATGATCAACTAGTTTAACGAAGCCAAGAAAAAGATCGGACTTCGCATAAAACGAAAGTTCATGAAAAACCCATGGTGCAAAGGCGAAAAAATTGAATTCGAAGGCTCTCTCATTGCGGAGACCACTTCGTAGGTTTACCTTGGGCGATCAATGAACAAGGAAAACAACGTGAAGGAGGAACCAGATTGAAGAAGGAGAGCAGCTTGGGCCGCATTCGAGCCTCTCAAAAAAGCCACCGACCAACTGAACGTCCCGAAAATCAGCGCTTATCTCTTTGATTCTACGGTCTTCCTAGCACTCTGCTACGCTGCAGAGACGTGGGTTGATACTTCCACTACGTGAAAAACGTTTCGAACTACTCACAGAGCGCTCGAACGATGTCTTCTGAAATATAACCGGCACTCTCAATATGTAGCCAGAATGCGAAGCTCTGACCTTTGAAGTCTGTCACATGTTCGAGATCTAGGAGAATATGCATCGACAGCGAAACATAGATGAGCCGGTCACATAGTGAGAAGAACAGACGACAGATGGACGAAAGGAACAGTAGAGGGGACTCTAAGAAAATGCAAACCCCCTCTAGGACGACCACCTACACGTTGGGTGGACGTGTTCGCTAACAGAGTTAATCAGCTGTACCCGCAGCTACACCTGTTTTACAGATCACGGTATGAGACTCGCGAGCGCTACCATGCTCGAACAAGACCACCACCTTGGACTACGATTGCCAAATAAAGGAACGAGTGGCATATATGCTGGGGTCCTCACAGCTCGTGAAAATGGACCGTCCAAGTGGGTATAACAGAAAAACATCTTGAAGACGCATCTCTTCATCGCGAATCAATTAAAAAGGAATTCAGAAGTCAAAATCGAAAATTGAATAACGAATAGCTGAAAATGGCAATTGCAGCAGGTTTAAAACAAGCAGACATTTCGCATCTCAAGATCGAAGTGCCGACATGTCCCGTCTTATACTTATCAAAACCCATAAGTTATTCTTCGTATTTTTGTTGAGCAAACGCGAGGTGTTATTATTCCTTATTCACGAATAAGCTGACGTTTCGGCGGATTTCGCCTTTCTCAGAGCCGTTTCTATGAGGTTTCCACTAATTATGTCACGTAGAGACCAACCGCACAGAAATCACATGGAAGCATAATGGAAGTATAATCATCTATGTAGCTACAGTAGCCTAATGGCCCGAAATCGATAACTGGTGCTTCCGCATTAGACATTAAGGCATTAGACATAATAATCACATTATACTTCCATGTGATTTCTGTGCGGTTGGTCTCTACGTGACATACTTAGTGGAAACCTCATAGAAAGCGGCTCTGAGGAAGGCGAAATCCGCCGAAACGTCAGCTTATTCGTGAATAAGGAATAATAACACCTCGCGTTTGCTCAACAAAAATACGAAGAATTACTTGATCAATGCCGAGGTTAATAGAAAGTCGGTCGTGGGAGTTACCCATAAGTTAATATCAGCTGATGATCTGGCGTCTACCGATCCCTCTACCATTAAAGTTAGACCCATCATCAGTTGTATAAGAGGGCCTACGGATAGATTTGCTTGGTTTATAAATCTAATTCTCAACCAGTTGCTTAAGCACATACCAGCCCATCTCACGAACACCCAAATGTTCCTAGATCGTCTGCGTAACGCACGTTCCAAAAGCGCGTACTTTATGGAGCCGTTCGACGTTACTGCCCTTTACGCTAACGTGTCGAACGACTTCGCAATGCAAGCCATCCGCGGGCTTCTTCAGCAACACGAAGGAGCACTTAACAAGTATGGCTTTTCGATTCAGCAGCTTATGGTATTCCTAATGGTCTGCGTCAACTGGTTGATCTTCAGAAAGTTCCGGGAAATATCACGCGCAAATTAGATTGCCGGCAATGGGACAGCGACTGGCAACAACCCTTGCCGTTGCCTTTATATCTAATGCGGAAGCACCAGTTATCGATTTCGGGCCGTTAGTCTACTGTAGCTACATAGATGATTGCTTTGTCATCTGCTCCATACAGGAGGAGAAGGACAAATGCTTTGAGTTATTGAACGAACAGTCAGAGTACATAAAATTCACCCGTGAGAAACCGAAAAAAAACTGGCTTCCATTTATAAACGTTCAAATCAACCTATCCGAAAACGGCTACGTCACAAAATGGTATCGAAAGCCAAGCAGTAAGAATATAGTGGTTCATTACCTCTCCTCTCATCTCTCACACACTAAAAGAGCGCTTATAAGAAATATGTTTCGAACCGCTGCCAGCGCGTGCACTGGTAGAGAGCAGATGGAAGAATCCTCGGAACTGGCGCGCCAAATAGCCATTTCAAATGGTTATGAAACTGTAGCTTCTCGGCATAGGCAAACAAGAAAAACCACGCCTAGAGCGACTATTCTAACGAAAACAAGGCTCCGTTCCTCTTGCCCTTTATTTCAAACGAAATAAGTGCAGCTATAAAACGTTGCTTAATAAGGGTCGGTCTAGAGAATTCCGTAAGAGTGATAGAAATACCATCCACACTCTAAGACGCCAGCTAGTTTGCAACCTCCTATATGAACGTATATGCATAACGAAAAACTGCGTGATTTGCCCTTAACGGTAGAGACGGTGATTGCATGAGTTCGGGTACAGTCTATCTGATCTCTTGTAAAGCGTGTCGGAACGAATACGTTAGCGAAACGCGTAGACCGCTCTGCGTCCGCATAAAAGAACTCCTAGTCGGTAAATCTAAATTAAAACCAAACACTCGACTAGGCGCGCATAGGATGCAGGAACACAACAGAGAAGATTTTCAAGTAGGAGTCGCTATCCTCACGCAGGAAGCGAAAACATCGGCGCGTAATACTTTTGAAGCGTTTTGGATCAATTCCAAAAATCCAAATAACGGACCGCAAGGAAGAGTGTCTTGTAATCATGTGTGACCTAGCGCCATACCTCAGACTAATCCAATGACCTGACGCAGACACAGTTATCGTCCATGTATTACTCTGTGCAGGTGCTATCAACCAACTAACTTATGTACTAACAACGAATACACGGTGGGTGTTTAAATGAAGCTGTTTCTTATGCGGATACAAATTTATTTGTTAAGTTTCATCTGCTAAGGTTGTGAAAGTGTTTGGCTGAATAGATCGTATCTCAATTTGACCTTCCCAGGCTCTGAAGAAGACGAAACTGCCGAAACGTCAGCTATTGTGTCGTAACAAATTCTATAATAACAACCTCATATCTGCTTAATGAAGAAAAACATCGAATCTCCCAAGATGGTGACGTACGCGAGGCTCTTTCCGAATTCCTGAAATCTTCCCTATCTGCGAATGCAGAGGAGTTAACGTTAACAACGAACACGTTAGCCCAAGTCTGGAGTCTATTCCATTGTATTTTCGCTCATCTGTCATTTCTTCTTTTTATTATGAGACCGGATCATGTGTTGTGTTTCGCTATCGATGTATCTCTTCCTGGACCCCGAAGACTGGATAGATTTCATTGCTATGAGCTACGCATTCCGGCTAGAAGCTGTGCGTGC